ATACCTCATCCAGCTGCAGCTGCCCCTTCTGCTCAAGCAAAGGCTCTTTTGGCTCCAGTAAAATCAAACCCAGCTGTATCTCACACAATCAGCCCTGGCTTCCTGGGTCCTAACATTTTGAATCCAGTGTTGCCGGTAGCCATCATGGCCTCAGCACAGCCAACTGCCATTCCTTCTGATGAGACGGCTCCTGGGGTGAGTGAGAGTGATCGGGACCAGACCCTATTCTCTGTGTTAGTGCGTCCACCGCCTCCCCTCTCAAGTGTGTTCAGTGAACAAGCCAAAAAATTGGAAAAGCGAAATTCATGTTTAGCCACAGCCAATGCTAAGGACCTGTATGACATATTCTACAGTAGTGGTGGAAAAGGGGCCTCTGAGACTAAGCTGAGTAGTGGTCCATTGGCCAATGGGGAAAATAGCAACTTCTCTAGACCTGAAAGTTCAGATACCTTTTCCACGTCTGCTTTGCACAGCAGTGCATCCCAAGAGGAGTTACCTCCAAATAGAAGTTTGGTTTCTGTTCCTTCAGTTGGAAACCCTAAAAAACCCATTGCAAAAACCCTGGTGTCCCTAGGGAAATGGTCGGTTGTAGAACATGTAGACTCAAAAAGCAGAGGCAGCAGCTATGGCTTCCTACAGCCTCTGACAAGGTTGTGTCAAAGCAAGCCTTATGAAACTATTACCCCAAAGACAGACACTTTGGCTTTGTGGACTTCTAGCTCCTTCCAGAGTGACACTAATAGGGATGTATCTCCAGAGGGAAAAATTGAGCTTGACGCGGAAGAGCCAGGGCCACCAGGTGTAGAGCCAGCCCCTCAGCTGTCAGATAAACACTGTAATACCATGGAATCTCAGAAGTTGGTAGAAAACCACCTTATGAAATCTGGTAACAAGGATGAAGAAAGCCAAGAGCTCCACCAATATAAGGATTGTGGAGAAAGTAAGATAGAGGCAAACACTGAACTGAAAGAAAGGGAAGCAAAGCTCTCTGAAAGGATAGGAAAGGAAACAGGTATCAGTGTTGGGCCCAATAACATAAAGGATTCTAATTTGAACCATAGGAACAGATACATGTGGGAGGGAAAAACAGAACAGCTAAAGTTGCAAATCACTGACAAAAAGACTGAACAATCCAAGAAATTGATGACAGGAAGTGAAACTCAAAGTAAAGTAGTGATTGAATTGAGTGCACAGACTTTATCTTCCACAAAAGCAAAAATAGATTCATTTCCACCAAAAGCTAAGTCTTTACTTCAGAACCCACAAGACAGAGCTGTGAAAATTTCTGCTCCAGAATTGCTTCTTCAGTCCCCAGCCAGATCAGATACGTGTGTAACAGGTTATGCACAGGAGCAAGGAGTTACAACAGGTAGTGAGGAGTGTCTAGAAAATTCAGCTCCAGAATCAGCTTCCAGAGCTTCAAGGTACAGAAGCCTCAAACTCAAGAGAGAAAGATCGAAAGACTTTCAGGGTAAATTGGTCTATGAACTGGCTGTTTGGGATGAAAACAAGAAGCCAGAGAGTTGGGAGAGCCCAAAGAAACCGGAAGTGGAAGCCTTGGAGCTACAAGATGTCCATCCAGAATTAACAGTGGCAATAGAGAGTAAGGCCTTAGAAGACTTTGAAGTTACAGGCTTGAAAGTAGAAAAACTTGCTGCCCTGGGGAACCTGGGGACTGTGGGTGTTGATTTCTGCAGTACTCAAGTAGACCCAGCACACAGATCCCCAACTGCCCTGTCCCAGAAATTGTGTGAAGAAAATTATTTGTCACCTATAGGATGTACTCCCCCAACTCTCACTGGCTTTGAATCAATCCCATCCTTTTCTGAGTTTCCATTAGATTCTCCCAAACCCCTGGTGCTTAATGTTGGTGCAGAGTGTGAACAAAACTCATCTAATCCCAGAAGTGGGAGGGTCACTCCTAACATTTTGAAAACTGGACATCCTATGGAAAATGTTGACCTTGGCTTGGGGAGCCTAGAGGGAACACACCAGGCCCTTGACCTTTTAGCAGGAGGAACAATGCCTGAGGAAGTAAAAGAAACTTCTCAATTAGAAAAACAAGATTCACTCTGTTTGAAATCGGAAACAATGAACACTACAGGCCTTGGGCCATCTCCTTGCCTTCCAGACCTTGTTGACTTTGTCACACGGGCATCTGGAGTTCAGAAAGAGAAGTTATGTTCTCATCTCTCTATGCCAGGTGACCCTCCGGAGTGTAGTTCCTTAGAGATGGGACCACTACAGCTAGAAATAGTGAATGCATCCATCACAGAGGTAGCAATTCCTCAAGTAGATGAGGACAATGACAACCCTTTGAACTTGGTAAAATCTTTGGCTCCTGGTTCCCCTATAAGGGAGCAGGTAGTTGGAGACAATATTGCTCAGGAAATACCTGCACAAGACGCTGCAGTTGATGCCATCCAGGACCACACAGAATCCTATGTTCACGACTAGTTTATGCAGAGCTACTTGTGGATGAATCAAATTGGCTTCTAGAAATCCGGTGCCCAAATGATCCAGGACTATTTGGCTAACTCATCTGGAACCTATACCATGAAATGCAGTCAGCATCTAAAGTAAATGTTCATGGAAGCTAAAAAATTTACCTCCGTTCCTTTTTTCCTTTCTCTTTAAGGTATCAGACAAATCAATCATAATTTCTGTACATATCTGTAAAAAAGTACTTTCTGTTAATTTTTTTTTGCCAATTTATTTTCTCCTACTTTGTCATTAAAATCAAATGTCTATTTGGCTTACCACATAGTGTGCTTTGATTGTATTTTGCCTTTGACTCTGCCATTTCTGGAATGTGGGGGGGAGGACAAGAGCGGACTTCTCCAATTGCTGTGTTGTATCCCCACCCAGTTTTCTGGGCAGCTTGATAGGTCTCTGGGAGAAATACCAGAAAGCTTACAGAAATGGAAAACTGATGAAGGAAGGGTTGTTCCTCTGTTAGGCTTCCATTTGGATGGGCCTGCCTTAAGATTGTTTGAAATGGAGCGTGAGTAGATCTTTTGTTTACTGTTTACTTCCTTGTGTCATGTCAGTCCCCATACTTTCCTCATTCTGTTGCTTTGGCTTGAAATGGTCCTGCTAACCCACAAACCTGTTTGGAAATGGCTTCAGCAAACATGGAAGAAAACCTAGCAGGCTCATTATGGAAGACAACAAATCGGTAAGGCTTATTCATGGCTCAGTGCCAGGAGCAAATATACTTTTTGGGTCACTTTTATTTTCGAAATGGCCCTTGTTCATTGTATTGTGATGCAGTAACACTTTGTGTTAAGTTGCATAGCACCATTTCTGTTCTGAAGAGGTAGAGATCTGAAACTTGTTCTGGGATTGGATTTATTCTCTGTTCCACAACCCATATGTATTCCTTCCTCTACCTCTCCCTTCCCCACATTATTTCCACCATAGTGTGATGTGTTCGGTTGTACATTTTGTTAAAAGATTAAAGAATTTATGAGTTGGCTTGGACAAGTTTAACTTTATTTTTAATGTGTTAATTACTTGGAATAAATACATTAATCTCATGTTTCTTTCTGGATTTTTGTTTTGGAACCACACACATTTGACCTCCACAGAAAAACTAAAGCAGTGAACCCCCAGTGCCCTATTCTCTATACCCCCTCCAACCATTTTGGGGGGGTTACTTTGATTATGTCAAATTATTAGATTATAGTCTGTGCCCCAGTGCTGCCTAGATGGGCAGTAAATAGAGGACAATGGTCTAGTTTTGACATCTTCCTGTTGTGAAGCTTTTTATGTGTCCTTGTATTGATTCTCCTGTGCTCTTCTGGGAACTGAGCTTCCCCAAGAACACTCATGTTCTTGCTAAGAGTGCTCTTGGGAATTGGGGAGCTTGGTCCTCAGGTGTTCTAACCTCTGTTCCAGTTTCCTCCTGACATCTATTGTCAGCAATCTATAAACTGTCTCAACAGAGACTTCAGAGTCTAGTTCTGCCCCAGGAGGGGCCCCCAACTCTCAAAAATAATGCAAAGTTTCCAGTCTTTTTTCTTAAGAATTCTATTTGTCCCTGTTTCCTTGTGTGCAGAGCTGCAGAATCCCCACTTGGAGTTTGGGGAGGCTATATACTTTTTCTAGAGCCTTGACTAATGTTTTATTTAGAAGTTGTCCTGGCCTCTCTTCATCATGTGGAAAGAGCACAGATTTGGGAGAGTTAGGTCCTTGAATGTTCCTAAGCCATTTGCCTTGCTGTGATTTGGGACGTTTCTTCACCTCACAATGCCACAGGAGTCTCCCCCCCTTCTTAAAATGAAGATTATTATCTCCACGTGTACAGGGTCAGGCCTTCGTGAGTAGTTGTTTAGGGCTGCTGCTTTTAGGCTGAAGCCTGAGTTCAGTGCGCTTTTCTGGCCTAGAAACCAGACTGATTCAGAAGGTGCCCTTTACAAAAACATAAACCTAGGAGATATATTTGTTTTTCCAGAAATCTCCCCATTTTAGAGAATTCAGAGAAAATAAGAGTTTAAAATGCCAGTTGTAACTGATTTTCAGGACTGTTCACTTAGTAAGTTTAACCACTCTTTGGGGAGAGGTGGGCAAGTTTAGGAAAAGAGTGGGGTGGGGTTAATTCTATCCAGATCATACTCCTAACTTCATCTCTGAGGGAGTCAGAATCTTTTTCCAGGTTAGGAGGGGACTACTTGAGAAGGGAAGGGAAGAGGCAAAATTTAGGAAGGGCAGAACTAATTCAAGTAGCTGGGGCTGGAGTACTTTGACCAACTTCTCTTGTACTCTCTTGATAATTTGGAGCTTTATACCAAAGGCATCTACCATTCTCAAGGGTTTTCTAGAATAATGTTCCTTGTAACAGCTAAACCAACAGCATTCTCCATATCTGCCTTGAAACCAGCAGAGGGAGAACTTTTAGGATCCTGTGATCTGGGCAGGAAGTATTGCTTGCTTCCTCTAATTAGTGGGATCTAGCTTTGGAGCCCATCCAGAGAAGCCATGTGAAAGAAAGGGCAGAACTCTAACCCAGTTGCTATATACTAGAAGTTCAGTACTATCATGGTACTGAATAAACGTTTACCTTAGGGGACAAAGGCACAAGCTAATCTTTATGTGTGGCTTATGGTATATAACTGTGTTTCAAATTTCTGTAAACATCAGAAGCAGTTTTTATTGAATCCTCTCAACTGTGAGCACAATTGATGAGCAGTTAGGTTTAAATTTGGACAAACATCTAATTTTACCTAAGTTGTATTAAAAAAAAAACCCTAAAAATTTCCCTTGGCTTTCTGAATGGAGACCTCTTGCTTTATAAGCCATCTTTCTTCTATTCACAGCTAGCTTCAGGACGCAAAATATTCTTAATAACCTCTCTATTGAGTATTCTCACTTTACCCCATGCCATTACATCTCGTTAAAAAATCAAAAAAGTAATGTTTTGGTAGCAAAGCACAACAGAACATATGCCCGTTTACTAGACTGCCAGGTTTAGGGACTGAGGAAGAATGGGGAGAGGTATATGTATATTTGGGGTTGGACATATAGTATACAGACATCCAATGGGGACGTTAAGGGTATTATTTTTTAAAGGGTAGAGGTGAGTTCAGAGAGGAGATGGCAAATAAAGGAAGTGAGGTGGGGTTTTTAAAATATCCCTAAAACTTGGTTCTCTCCTCAACAAAGCTTACCTACCAAGACAATGATGAAAATCTAATAAGATTTTCATTTATTAACAATTTTTTGAGAAAACGGACAAATGAAAATCGGGGTTGTGAGCACATTTATTCTGTATTTTATTTTAATTTTGCAATAATGTTTATATAACTTTAAAAGTTATGTATACAATAACAATATTCATTGATAAGCCAAGCAATTGAGCTTAAATGAAAAGCATCTGTCCTTAAAAAAAATCACCGCCCTGGCCAGGTAGTTCACTTAGGGCATCATCCTGACTCGACA